TCCAACAGGATTGTCTAAAAGCCTTCTCTGATAATGTAATTGTGGTGGAGAAATACTAGAACTCTTCATTTCATATTTTATATTTATTTATTTGAAACCAAAATTACAGTATCATCTTAGAAACTACACCATATGAAATGCGTGGGTATTTGTAGAGGGAAAAGGCCTCCTCTGGTAATTAAAATTCACAGTTCAACAAATGTACTTCTCAACACCTATGCTAACACAAATAAAACATTTTCTTTAGAAATATTTGAAAAGGACGATTTGTGTAAGAAATAAACGGCACTTTTGAACAAGTATGACAAATGCATGACATTTGGGAATGAAAAATGCTAAATCAAATTAAAAATGAAAGCACTGAGTGGAAAATCTAAAAAAAAAATAAAAATAAAACTTTCCACTGTTGCCATCCAAATATGTAATTAATTTAAGATGAACATGAAAAACTGAGATGCATAATCATTTCCACTTCTAAATTAGATAATTAGTCACACTCTTAAATCTGGTTAGTGTGTCTAAAATACATATTCAAAACAAAAATCGATTATTTTTTCCAATACAGACAAAGTGCCTTCTGTAGTATTAAGACGTGTTTCCAGGCAGCCCATTAAATAAAGCCAAATTAACTGGTATCAAGACAAAAACAGGCTTTTTTTAAAAATATGTTTTTGCACTAACTATGAAGGATGCTACAAATTAATTTTGATGGATAGATTTTAAAGGGGGTCTATTTTATAAGGTAAGGTTCATTTTCTTTTGATTTTTTAAATCAATCAGTGATAACATTGTATTTTATAGAAATACCCCACAATGATTTTAAGTTTATTAAGGTAGTGGGTAGTCAGAAAAGAAATGGAATTCAAGACGTCTTTCTGTCTATACTCCATAAACCCAGCACACGTATGCTGTGCTTCACTTCACTGGACGACTTTTATACTGATAGATATTTTTCATCTATACCGCTTCTTTTTGAGGAACCACTCCACTTTGTCTTCTTTTGCTCGTTGTTCAAGAATATTGTCAGCATGTCAACATGTCAGTGGCTTGCAGCATTAAGCTCTTTGGTAATAAAAGGAGAACGGTATAGCACACCATACATGCTCACACACCCAGACACACAAACTCGTCTTCCCCATCCAAGCAAATCGATTCCAGCATACTCTTGGTCACACATCATTACTTTTTCCTATCATCCTCCGATCTTTTGCTGTGTAAACGGTGTGTGTGTGAATGTGTGATTGAGCATGCTTTTAGTAGGTATGCAAATTTAAGACATACACATGCTGCGAAGACATACAGCACGGTACGCCTGCTGCCTACAGCTCCTACTTTAAAAAAATATAAAGCCGACGTGCCAGCCGCTATGGCGATCCCATAGAATGATCATTTGTCTTATATCTTCCATTACCAAGAGGCTTGAAGTTATTTCAGCGTGGCATAATGTCCCACTACTTTGATTCCAGAAAGCCATAACATCAGTGAGGTGAAAACTAGTCCAGCCAAGAACACACACACACACACACACACACACACACACACACACACACACACA